TCTTTTTGCTTAAGGAGTCTTGTGCTTGTTCTTAGTGAAATCTATGAGTTAACTTGATTTTTCTTTCTGCTCCAAAAATGGTCAGAGTGATCGACGGGGAGAGTCTCCTAAGAATGATAAGCATAAAACATTTATATATTATCTGAAATCAGCTAAGATGAGTAATTCTATAAGAATTTAAAAAACTGCCATTTATTATTATTGAATTGACGTAGAAAAGAATTGTTATTATTGGATTAGCAGTAAGTTATTAATTATTGCACTTTGCAAAAAGGTGTGACCTTGTAGATTATGATGTCATATGAAAATTACGAGAAATTAGGTGATTTTCTGAATTTTACAAAATTTTACAGATTTTAGACAGTACATATTAGTATATACTAAAATATTTGATCAATAGGAAATTTAGAATTACAAAAGTTTTCCTCTATCATCACAAAGAAAATCACAGGGTCACACCTTTTTGCAAAGTGCAATTACTCTTATTAATATTATCAATTTAGTCATAAAATTTAAATTTATTTATTCGGAATTTAATGACTATTTAAAATTTATTTAGAATTTAATTGTTAATAACTTGACCATATCATAAGAACAAAAAATTAACATTGTCTAGTCTATTCGAGATTAAAATAATTTAGAGTTAGGGTAAGAAATATCTTAATTTGTGAATTTCTTGCATTTTTCATATTTTGTCTTTTTTTTTAGCTAATAAATCTCTCTTAATTTAATTGTATTTATTCGATTCACTACCCTCACAAATAGTCAGTCTAGTAGTGATTTAAGTCGATAGGTATTAGTTAACTTAGTCAAAATATCCTATTGACTTAGTTGATTTTTTAAATTAATCAGCTTATTTGACTATATATAATATAAACTGTAATTTCAAATTAAATATTTTTTTAGCTAGTATTATTATTATTATTATTCAATACCGAATTATTTAAAAAAAATTTTTTTATAATAGTTGACTAAGCTAGCTTAGCATATCAACTTAACTACAATTACTACGGTTTAGTTACATTAAATATTTTAACTAAAAATTTGATGTAAAGAAAAAAAAATTTTTTTCTAAAATAATTTGATGCGAAGTTTTTTTTTTTTTTTTTTTAAAAAATAATCTATTGTAGGTGTGTATATAAAGATACTCGAGCTTGATAGTAAAAAGGATTTTGATGCCAAAGTAGCTGCGATTGATTTTCGGACTAAGAAGATTTCGATTGCTAATATAAGACCTGAGCACCTTGTTGAGATCCAAAAATTTTTTTTTCTAATTCAAAAACTTATTGCAGAAGAAGTACATACAGTTTCAAAAAGGTTGGAAGAAGGAAAAAGAGTACCTAATCTTAAAACGGCTGATTGTTCTTGCAAATTCTTTACTAAGTATATGTTACCTTGTCGTCATATATTTCATGAACAACTTTGTAGTGATTCTAGTATTCTAACATCAGAAGTGTAGTACTACTTTTAAGAAACTTTTAATGAAAGTAGTTTGAAGGTATATCAGTCACGTCAATTGGTAGAAGTACTACTGATTCAACTATTGGATGCTGAAAAAAATATCAAAAAAAGTAGACAAGTTATGAATGAATTGTTTGAAGGAACTAAAGATCAATATTATTGATTAGCTAAAAAAAACATAGATGAAGCAGCAAAATTCGTTAGAGATTTGGGAAGGTTATTAGAACCTGTAATTAAAAAAAAATAAGACAAAATAAAGAAATAATTTTTTTCATCCAATAATATAATAATGATAAGTATAATTTTAACTGAATTTTAGCATATAATAAATAATTTTCATATTAAAAAAATTTCTAGCCTTTCATAATTCAAAGTTTTATTTTTCAATAAATTAATACAAGTAAAAGAATAGACAAATAATTATATATATTATTTAGCAAATGATTATATGTTCGTCTTTTATATTTATTGATAATTTAATGTGTAAATAAATAATAATATTTAATAGAGAATTCTAAAATATGTATAAATAAATTTCATATATACTACAAACTAATAATGTATTTAACTATAAATTATACGATTAATTGTAATTATTTAATTATTTATTTAATCATTCTTAACGAACTCAGAAAAAAAATAGTTACAACTATTTTTTTTTATTATGATGAAGTACTCATATGAAAGTATTTGTATCGATTCTGAACTTAAATTTGAATCAATTGAAATAAGAACTGGATATTTAAAAATTTCATATAATTAGAGCTTGAAAGGCTTTCACTTCGTCTCAACTAAATATTAGAAAATTAAAATCTGAAGCATAAAGTATTACTGGTTGAAAAGGTAAAATTCAACCTCTAATCGGAGGTTGAATTTCAAATTTTTGGTCGAATTCAGGTCGAATCGGCCAAAAAATTCGACCTATAATCAACCTATAATCGATCTAAAAACTACCAATCAGCTTAAAATCAGCATTCGATTTTAGGTTGAATAGTTAATTTTAAAATTCGACCTAAAATCAGACTCCAAATTTAGGTTGAATTTTATAACCATTCGACCTAAAATCAACCTCTAAATTTTGAGGTTGATTTTAGATCGAATGGTTATAAAATTTAACCTAAATTCAGGGTCTGATTTTAGATCGAATTTTAAAATTTATTATTTAACCTAAAATCAGATGCTGATTTTAAGCTGATTGGTAGTTTTTAGGTCGATTATAGGTTGATTATAAGTTGAATTTTTTGGCTGATTCAACCTGAATTTGACCAAAAATTTGAAATTCAACCTCTGATTAGAGGTTGAATTTTACTTTTTCAACTAGTGAACACTATCTAATAATAAATTACATACAAGAATTAAAGCTTAGATAATAATAAAATAACTAAAACTAAAATAAATATTAAAATTAAGGCTAAATTAGAATTATTTGTGACCTAAATCTACTAGATTGGTTAAGATTTATCTAGATTTGATTAGAAAAATATAGTTTATAAAAAAACTATATTTAATCTAATATATTAGCCAAGTAGAAAGTTTTTGTATAATAAGCCTATTTCCGTAAAGGACCAATCATATAACAGTTAAACTCAATGTACAGAATAGACTTTGGTATCCTCCGCAACTGTGAGAACTGAGTATATGGCAAGTGCTATTGCAGAAGTTCTTCTATTAGCCTTAGACCTCTCTTTATCAACTCCTACTAAAGCTACCACTACATGCTACAACCTCTTCCTTCAACACTACAATCTTCTTTTGCTACCACCAACTCAACTTCTGAGCTCATTTATAAACTACTTAGACTCATTTAAATTCTCTTTGCCTTTCAAAATATCTATCAACAACACACTTACAAAAATATATATATATATCAATACTCTGGATACTCTTCTTCCTCATCATACTATACTTCCCAAATCTAACTTTACTATCTTTACACATCTTCTAATCAAATCTAATACATATTACAATACTTCTTCCTCTATACTAACTCTAACCTCAATACCTTCACAGCAAACACAATGCAATAACTAAACTTCTATTCTATCTACTAACCCTCTACTATCTAATCTTACACTAAATATTGCTACTCATAATGTAAGGGGCTACAATATTCTTATCAAACAGCAACTATGGGAATCATATTGTATTCAAAATGATTTTAACATAATTAGCATTATTAAAACCAAACTAGCTAACCTCCTTATAGCCAAATTCCTTAACACACCTCAATTCAAGTATTTCTGGTTAAACTCCTCAACTTCTAAGAAAAGAACAGGTATAATAGTCAGAAACTATTTTCAGCCCTATATCTACAACATACTTTACCATTCTGATAGAGCAATCGCTCTAGACTTTTACTTCAAAAATGACTATAAATTCAGAATTATCTCAATATATCTCTCTTCCACTGATTCAAATACACAAAACTTCACACAAAACAAAGTCATCTCATGGATTTAACAGGCTCAATCTCTAAACCTCTATCTAATCACTCTTGGTGATTTCAATGCCTCTACATAACTTGAAATCCTCTTATTATCTAAATTTAAACTTATCTTCTATCTTCATGGCTCTAATATATACAACCTTGCTAGCTATACTAATAATCTTAGTTATACCTGGTCTAATAGCAGTCAAAGCAGCAAAATTTACTATATTTGAACTCAAGACTCACTAATTCCCTATCTTAACAGCTTTTAACTCGACTTCTCTTTATCTTCTACAAACAGTAATTATATGATACTTACTTTTTCCTGTCTTTCCCTATGACCTTCACTTCAATATATCACAAATCTCATACTAAACACTAAGTATTTTACTACAAACAAATGAACAGAGAAAAATAGGAAGAATTCTCAAACCAAATTGACCACAATCTTTACTTATATGGTATTTCAACTCAAACTTCAGTTAATAGCTCTTTAGAAATAATTTGGTATAAAATCTCAATGAGTATTACTCAAGCTGCTCTCCAACATATTCCAAACAAAAAATATACTATCCCTTAATTTGTAACACCTGCAAATTT